GCGACACGCGCCGAAGAGTCGTCTATATTCGCCCGTATGCATAACGCCCAGGGTAGGGAAGGGCAAGGAAGTGTTCGTTTTCGCCGTAGGTCAGATAAGTGGCGCTGGAGCGCAGTATTTCGCGCCTCCACTACCGTTTGGCCAATGTTAGATTGGTATCCGAAGTTCGTGTTTTTCGATTAATTGAACCTGAATTTGGGAAGAGTGAGATTTTTGCCTCAGGAAAGCTTTTTAACAAAGTGGAGGGGAGCTACATCCTACGAAGGCTGAAGGAAGTAGCAGATGGAGGGATTGGAGGGTTGTGTCATCAAAGAGGCCGCAAGAACCATATCACCACCAGTCCATTCAGGATTACTTATTCGATACGTGCCACTTCTTCCACTCTAACCTTTACATTTCTGCGCCATCCTAATCTCGGGATGCTCATACGTCGAGAATCCTGCACATACGCAACCTTTCTCTATGCACCCACCCCCAGCACCGCAGTCCTCGGCTTCACCCCTCCTAAATTTATTCCCCGTCACTAGCACTGATGTACATTTGGTAGACATACTTTTCTCCAAGTCACCGCATCGAAGCATTTCAGTCCGTTGCAGCGTGTATTTCAACCTTTACACGTGGTATACACATGACTCTTGTTCGAAAACAACTTTTTCGCTCTAAGCGTCGAGCTTTCTTACTATTGCTATCATAATACATCTTCAACACTTAATTTTTTATGCGCTCATGGAAGATGTGGACAACACAATGGACAACAAGTTTTCGCACCTAGGCGGGAAGTGGCCCTTCTGCGCGACGGTTCGTAAACCGCTTTTCAAGGCAGTGGTCGTTGAAAAATTAAGAGCAAAGCGAGTAGAAGGTGCACAATTACAACTGCAATACCTGACAGCATTCATTTNGCAATAGGATATGTAATAATATACAAATCAGGCGAAAAACTACTCATTAGTTGCTCACAGAAATGTTTCCAGTTTCCTTCTCAAATCACACCAGGATCGCTATGCAACATGCTCACGATAACTGGTGTAAATCTAGAAAGAAAACCTGCTTATCTGAAGATTCGACTGCTTAATAGCAATGAATTCAGCAATATAAATAAATTTGTAGTTGGTTGCAGCAGTAGAATAAAATCAGAGCAATACTTGACGAATTCGGCAGCAGAAGTCAGAGGAATAAGCGCTCAGCCGAATAATGTAGTGAATTACAGAGTTGCGGTCTACATGACCATCGGCGCCCCAGCTCTATTTTAGGGGTAGATTCATCCCCCTCCCAGGGTGGGGAGCCAATGGGGTCGGGCTTCTCTGAGCTCTCGCTAAGGTAAGATCGCGCAGAGGCAAAACATCACATGATTATCGAGAGCTGTCGATTCTTCATCTGTTTATAGAAAAAAACATCGCTCCATTGTCACTATCTTGACCCAAAACCTACCATTTGAACGTTCGCGCCCTTCGCAAACATTTCCTTCCCCTCCCCTACCCTGGGCGTTATGCATACGGGCCATTTTTAGATGCGATCCCTCCCGCTGTTTGGAGGAGGGTGGAATCTCGTCGGCTGATTCTGGTATGCCATATATAACTAAGCTACGTCCCCGTTTCTCTCCTTCCACAGCCTCAGAGATAGTTTGTGGAAGTTTCGTAATAAGGGCATTGATGTATTGGCCCATTATCGGGTCACGGAGTTGCTCATTGCGTTCGATCATGGCACTAACATGGAGTTTTGTATTCGCGCAACGGGCGCCGCCGAGGCGGGTCCCGAACAGATCGGGACCAGTCAACGCGGTCGCGTCGCGGCCAAGCCATCGAAGGCCGGTGGGGAGGTTCCTCCCCATTCCGGCTTTGTGTTCGTCACAACCCCTCCCCCTCCCTATAAAATTTTTGTGACGGACATAACGTCCATTCTATTGCAGAACCGGCACCAGCATCCCGTTTTGGAGCAGCCCAAACGGCAGCCCAGCTGGCCAGTGGAGGAGGCTTCGAAGAAGTCGGCCAAATTATTCAAAACTGTATAAACAATGCAATCGCGCCAGGCACCTTAAATATCTACAGACGAGTCAGAACCCGTTTTCTCGAGTTTTGTCAGAAGTGGAAGATACCTGCTTCAGAAGTCTCAAAACTAAGGAATATCTTCATTGCACATCTCATCCACAAAGGGGAGGACCGATCCCTAGGATACCACATAGCCGCCCTGGCACACTTTTTTGGCCCTCTACCCCAAGACGACGCGGATATCCTTAAGGCGCTGCTTAGAGCCGCCGAAAGGTCAAGGATTCCGATCAAACATCGGAACAAGGCAACTAAGGTAGATGTGGAGACTATCATAAAATTCGCTTTGCAAAGCGAATCTTCGGGTGACGTGATCGGCGCCACTATGGTCATGCTTGCCTTTTCTGGGATGTTGAGGGTTAGCGAGGTCAGCCGACTCCAATTTCAGCATTTTTCATATAAAGGGGACGGAGTCTGGTGGGTCCAGATTGCCAAATCTAAAACGGACCAGAAAGGACAAGGGATCACCGTAGCAATAAAGCTTGACCTACCCCATACCTTACTATGGCAGTCCTTCTGCCGGCTTAGGCGCCCCCTTATGCCCCAAAAATTCCTATTCGGTAACAAGGAAGGCTCCCCTCCTTCCAGGGACTGGGTGACCAAACGTTTCAACAACGTGATAAAAGCAGCGGGTCTCCAACACAAACACCTCACCACTTCTTTCAGGGGTGGGGCAGCCACCCATGCTTTAAGGCAGGGCGTCGACTCAACCAAAATCATGTTAGCGGGGCGATGGCGCTCGTTCGAAGGGTTCAAGGCATACGTGGAGCCTTCTCCCCTCTAGTTCCTGGGTCTGACTCTTCTTATATATTTGAAGACAGGTCGCCACATGGACGCGGACTACCGGACGACTTCTTTCGCCAGATCATGCGACGACAACCAGCGATTCGACTATCGGCTCCCTCAACGACTTGAGATTTCTTCGGTGCTGATACTTTGTATGTAATTTTTTTGGTCACATTCTATTGATTTGTTTCCCTTACTGATCTTTGTTGTACATAGTGTACGAGCTCCTTTTCGCCTTACCATGTACAGGTTTTTCGTTGCGGCTCCTTTTTCCGGGCCTACCATATCATGTCATATTCTATCAGTGCCTTTGATTCAAATAGTGCCTTTTTCATTCACATGTACAGTTTTTCTTATCAGCTACCTCAGACGGACTCGTCTCGACCATCGGGTCGACCTATACCTGGTCCATTTCATCACATTCCTCAAACAACTGGTCATAGGTTCTCGGAACTTGTATGTTATAACCGATCTCATACGTTATGTGTCCTCATGTATGCCGAACCTATTCACGCTACATACGTTATGTACACACTGTTATACATGTACTGTTATATTGCGACACGAACTTAAACGATAAAGCCTATACCCCTTGTTCGTTGCGAGAAGACAAAACGTAGGTTTCGTCGTAGAGTATCGGAGATGAAATATCTCATTTAAAGGCATTTGCAATGTCCGAATCAAGCCTAGTTACGTTCGTTACACTAGTACTTTGCTTTTCTTTAGCAACCTGAGAACGCAATTTTCTTTGTGACATTATTAGTTCTACTCAGTTTGATCACCAATCTATTGGAAAAAAAAAGTTGAACCTAGCTGCAGTCAGTCGCTGTCAACACTGCAGTGCAACGTCCAGCAAGTCGTNTCCGAATCAAGCCTAGTTACGTTCGTTACACTAGTACTTTGCTTTTCTTTAGCAATCTGAGAACGCAATTTTCTTTGTGACATTATTAGTTCTACTCAATTTGATCACCAATCTATTGGAAAAAAAAGTTGAACCTAGCTGCAGTCAGTCGCTGTCAACACTGCAATGCAACGTCCAGCAAGTCGTTCCTTTGATAAATGACAGTCTTCTTTATAAGAATACCACGTCGTCGATATATCGAAGGATTGTAGCAAGTCTGAGTTTATTTGGGCAGTAGAATAGAAAATGCGACCGCACTCGGCAACAGGCAGTGTGGAATCCCAATATGGAAATATTGTCAACGTGAACTTCACATTTGAAGCCCTCGTTTCTTTCCATCGATCGGATCCCTCCGCGAATCATCACTTTGCTGTTTTATAACAAATTTTCGATTTGGTGACAGCGACTTCGAAATTTTTAATGATATGCGATCGTTTTGTCTGTCTCACGGCTGCCTCTATCGCGAAAATTTTCTCGTCAGAGAAAACGATGGAGTAATGCGCGACTCCACTTAAGCGATTCAGCACCATTTTGCTACTTTTCTATTACGGGTTGTCTGTTGTGATCGAAAATGAAGTGGCATTCCTGCATACAGTGGGAATGGCAATGAGGCTTTCATTCACAATCTGCGCTATCTATATTTTGATACGTCAAGTTCCCTCTCGAACCTTCTGGTAGACGTCTTAGGATTACTAGGGACTCGTAACAGGTCCATTTTAGTAGTCTTCTCCTAGAAAACACTGGTCTTCTAATCCCACTCGCCTATGGTTCATCCTGCTTGTCTGTATTGTTCAATAGCCTTATGTCCAGTCATTACAGACTGTACAGTTAATGGAATCGAAAAAGTTTTACGATGTCCTGCCAGGTTTTGCATGTGCATCATCGCGACCGGCACCGAATGAGGCTCCACTAGCTCAGAGATTTTATAAGTCTTGCTTCGATAACTATGCAGATTGCAAGAAAAACTGCTAATGTAAGCAATTAATAGACTGAAAGGTAATTAATGCCTTCGAAAACTGGCACACACAATTCTGGAATACCCTGCAGTAATTCATTCATATTTAATTTTATTCAATCCCCAACAGAGAAGCCAAGGACAGACCTGAAGTCTCTACAACAAAAAAAAACTCGGCCAACAACAACGAAACATAGCAGGAGTGACTCTTCAGGCATACACCGTCATTCATTATATTTAAATTGAAATCGAAAAGGAGAGAGCAGCACTGCGTCAATATGAGCAAGTGATGGTTCACCTAATTCTTTCAATGTTATCAGTGCTTGGGCTGGATGGAGATCGGGATCACTTTTGGTTGAAGCTCGGGTTGACGGTAGTATCTCACAGTCAGAATTCCGTCCTTGCTCAGTTCACTTTTCACGTCGTCGGCTTTCACTGTGCTCGGCAAATCGTACTTGCGCAGAAAATGTCGCTCAACCTAGAGAATTAATAAGTATCTTACTGCAGTGCAGATTTTAGAACAATTATCTACGAACCTTTCCAAATTTATCGGTCTTTTCCTCATGTTTTCCTTCGATCTTGAGAACATTGTCAACAATATTCACCTGAAGGTAATTTTTGGGGGAACAGAAGAAAGGAAGACAAAGGCATTGAAACGAATTCTCCAGAAATGGGAAAGAGTGAAGGGGATAGGAACTTCTTTTCGAGTTTTGTTTTCCCGTATCCTTTTGTATTTAATGCTTATCTCTTTGTAGGCAGGTGTCACCACCGTTGTATAATCGCGATGGTTGAGCGCATTCAATCACGCTTGGACTCAGGCCACAGTATAACCATCGGAAATGGGGCAACTTGAGCCGATCAAACCGAGTTGACCGTTTTCTGCCTACCGATCCTAACTTCCCAACAGTCTATGACTGAGTTCATAGTATGCTGCCTTGGTGCGAGATCAAGGACAAAATACCTTGCTGTAACCCAATCACTAACACTTAGGGTGCTGACGGATTCGGCATTTCTTACAACGATACCTATGAAAAATGCTAGGGATCAGACAAATGTAAGAAAATATTCTTCCTGCAGGGGCGCTAATATAGAAATTGGTAGTTATATTGCTGATTTTGGATTGAACGCCAGCAAACTCCGCACCTCGGAGGAACATAATGTAAGTTCTCCTCTTCCCCCTCACCCGCCTTCCCCCTCCGTGCTGTGCTCCCTCGACCACACCCTATCATGAACATCATTTTCAATAGATTATGACAACAAAGAGAATTACACCTACGGATAATTCCTCAGGCTCAAACTGCGACACGTCTACGGACACAGAGTATTCTCTATCGTTGTCGACAATCTGAACAAAGGAATGTCAGTCAGCTTGGATTACGTGATGAAGAGGGTTGGACTAACGTCGACGCCTTCTCCAATCCGATGGCCGGTTAGCATGGTTTGATCCATCCAGTATGGTCGATGAAGAGGTCGATCAAAATCGGGAAAGTCGTCAAAAAAGCGGCTATGAAATCCAATGGGTGAGAATGGAGGCATTCGAAAACGACGGTCCATTTTCAGCAGGAAACCGAAAAAGTCTCAGTTTTGGAGGCAATTCAAGGCTTAAAGTGACAGTGATTGAGCTGTGGTATGCTTGCATTGGACAAGAGTTGATGAAAAGATTTTCCTAAAGAGACATGAATTGCGAGAAATAATGCCTTTGGTGCTGCAACAGTAATTGAGGTACGAGGCGGTAACGCGGTAGCTAAATATTAGCAAGGAGGACGGACCGACCGGGGGAGGCGTAAGCCGTTTCACAAGCATCAATGGCGGGGGTGGCGACATATCACCGGAGAGCGGTCCTATTCAATCAGTGACGGCACTGATCATCCGAANGCAACTGAGCGGATTAGTTGCTATTGGTGTTTGTTGAGTAATGGAAATTTAAATTTTGCTGAAAACCTGTTGAGGCTCGGACTCTGCTCAGTTACTAACAAAGGCAAGATGTCCCATAATCAAATTTAAATTCATTTTCTTTATTTGGGATAGTGCTTTTGGATATTGCCAGAGTTAAATATGTAAGTTTGGTTCACTGCAAATGCAAGCAAATCGATATCCAAAAATAATTCACTTCAAAGAGTGTACAGGATTCATTCCTCAGACGGGATTCATCAATCCCGTCTGAGGAATGCGCCATCGCACTACATTTCCATTGAGAATCGTATGCGGCCTATGAAATGACTTTTGGTATCCAGCGGATGTACAGGCCAGTATTTTTATCTTCCCAGACGAGTCTTTTACCAATACATTAACCCCGGAGGATCGGAAGGTTTGGTTGATTGACGGTTCGATTGATGCGATAGTGCTGGGAAGGGATGTACTGCATACCACAGGAACTGGTTCCGTGTATCGTTGCAGAAGTTTACATTATGCTCACTCTATTGAACCTGTCCCGTGTAAAACATGATTAAGCGGCTTTTTGTAAAGCACTGGCAAATCAGTCTCCGATATCATTGAAGTCTTCGTTTTGTTCGCGGAAGAGAAGCAACTACTGTGTGAGGGGAGAGAAAGAGTAAAGCGGCGCTCATTGAGTCCGGCATTACGCAAAACAGGCTAAAGTACACTGAGCCTCTGAAAGTGCGCCTCTGTGAACACAATGCAAATCACTTCTGAGCCCCTCATATTGATTTGACAGGAATTTATTCTGTTCAAGAGCAATCAATTCAACTGAATAAATGCTGGGTTTTTTCGCAATGGAACCTTTTGCAATCTTAGCTCCCTCCTGCTTGGAACCTTTTGGAAATAGCAATCTGTTAGCAGTTTCTATTTTCTGTTAAGGCGTTTCTATTCTCCAAGCTGAGCCCCAAACACCCATTATTACTACATTTTTTACATTTCCTTTAGTTCCCTCACAAATGTTTGTGACTCATCCTAGACCCAATCTGAACAAAGGAGGTGAACGGTACACATTAAAATGCTCTTAGTAAAAAAAAGCCTTCATTGGCTAAGCTGATTGAACAGAGGATTTCCAGAGGTTGATGTGTTATTCATTCTGGAGTGCGATCAAAATTGGTTCATCTTTCCGAATCCCGTGCATTACAAACGAAGCGAGGAAATCCGCCAAAGGCCTTGTACGTTGACGCAAACTGTGTCAAACTAACTTTCTGCTCTGATTTGACACGGTTTTGGGATTAGTTTCGATGTTTTCTGAGATGAGGTTTCGGCTACTGAGGAAGCGACATTTGGCGCTACTGTGTCCAAAAGCGACATGTATAATTAAGGTGCAATAAGACCTTAGATTAGATCATTTCAGTGAAGACCTCAATGAAGGGCTAGAAGCTGCGCTTCTGAGTAACCGTGATGCGCAATGTTAGGTGAAGGTTTTCGGTGATTTGGTGGAAACCGTAATCAACTAAAAAAATGTAACCGGGGGCGACCAAAATCTCCTATAGATAGCTAGATTTTTCATAGCTACATCCACGTATGATCCCAAAAATGAATTTGGGAGCAGCGACCATTATCCTCACCTCCGATGAACTGTTCTGCGGCATCACCCCACTTTCCAACTCAATAATGCCCCATTTGCACAACTGCGCATTTGAGTGCTTTCAAAGTGCTCCTGTGCACGTCGAGTGATACCATATCGTCTCAACTTCTTCATCGAAACGTTTTTCTAAGAAGCGCAGTCAGTTTTGCACAATTGCTTTTAACGAGTGTTCAAGGTTAGGGGGTGTCGGCCTATACATTCTGGAAGCGAGAGGGGCCTTCAACGAAGATCAACAAGATACGGTGAGGCTACTGCAATCCACTTCTAAATGCGTATAAGGAATCCACCGAGCTAGGTGGTCCCAGAATTTTCCTTCGAGCTTCAAAATCCAAAATCAATGATAATTTCTGTACGGTGACGATCTCAACCGAATCTTTCCTTTTGTCTCACCTCCCAAGGATTGTCTCACAGTGCGAAAATGGGAAATGCGAACAGCCATGCGATACCTTGAGTTTTGGAAGGGGTTCTCGATCATATTCAGACTGTCACAAGACTCAAAAAAGTATTAAAAGTATCATTAGGTTGAGTCATAAGTCCTCTGGCAAAGTGATAATGATGACTTCTAGTGATCATAACTCCGGAAAGAGGAGACGAAATCGGACGCGCGTGGAATTGTTTGATAGAGTATGAAGCTCTTCAAAACACATAACGAATACGCCCACAATTTCCAAGTGGCACTAGAAGTTCCTGTCGGACGACTATTCCATCGAAGATGTAGACCGGCCGGAACGCTCAATGGAGTTGGATTTGGACGTACTGCGGAGCCAGGTGGAAGCCGATCCGTATCAAATTACTCGTGAACTGGCAGTCGCCCTTGAGGAGTCAGCCCACAATTACTCGTGGATTGAAGTCAATCGGCAAGGTGCAAAAGCTCGGTCGATGGGTGCTTCAGGCTTTGAAGCAGTATGACATGGGTTTTCGCGCCAACATGGCACTTTCTCTTCTCACGCTCAAGCGCAGGAGATGGTCAGGTGTACTCAATAGGATGTGGAAGAGCTTTTTATACTCTATCTAACGATGCCTTGCGCGTCCATTTTCGTCACCTCTTTCCCGAGTTATGACCTCTAGAATTCGTCACTATCACATTGTCCGAGGACTTATGATTGAACCTAATATTATAGATGAGCACAGATGCATTTCACATCATTTCTCGGTTTTACGAAGGTCTTCACATCTAGCTACACGTAGCGGAAACATCGTTCCGGATGTATCTGGGTGGAGAGGTCAACATGATGAATGACTAACTCCGGAGCCGAGCAGGACACGCGCGTGCGGGGAGCATCTAAGAATATCGTAAAAAAAGTGAGAAAATTCAAAAAACATTTGCCTCCACATGTATCTTTTCGACGCTATGATCTTTCTTGCTTTGAACTACGCTTCTGAGATTTGGACACTACGCAAACAGAACGAGCAAGCAGTCAGCGTCATTGAAGGCGCTGGGATGGTCAATGCTCGGTTAGCTTTCTAACACGAGCATGTACAGACAGAAATTAGGAGTTCCGAGCTCCGCCAATGATCGAAAATTAGGAACAGCTGGCTTACGCCAAAGATTCAAAGATCAGGTAGGCCGAACATGTCATCCAAGTCATCCAATTTTGTGATGGCCGTGTATCTGGTTATTGACTGGGCCCTCAGTGTCGTCAAATGGATACAGGTGCGACCGCCAGTGCGATGGTCAGACTTACTCACGAAAGCTGTGAACGTAAAAGATTCTAGGGTTGTGTCCCGGGCGAGAACGGTGCACTGGACTACTGAGGCGTGCCACGCAGAGAATGAGGAACTGCTTGCGCTTTCATAAGCAAATCTGTGTTGGTTGGGACGCCAGATGATACGCCAACGATGGTTCCGCTCACTATGGCTTGTTGTGTCGCTTGGTCTCCTCCTTTCAACACTCAGACTTTCATCTGCTTTCAAATTTCTGGAAATTAAGGTCTTCCGTGAACAAAGTTGTGCAGTTTTGTGAAAAACATCCCACGTTCTTAAACCACTTTTTTCATTTTGGTGTGAACCACAACCATTTTCAGTTTTTGGTGTGAGCAGTTGTCATCGCTTCTTTTGCGCAAGAGTAGCCACTCAAGCAACAATGAACCATCAGTAATCATTAGGTTGGTTCATGAATAATGCCGTCATTGTTCGAAATCAAAATTTTCTTGTAATGCTTCTTCTCTGGTTTCATTCATGTTGAGGACTTATTCTACGACACTCCGAACTGTACGTTCCGCCTGGGGAAAAGTTATGGTTCAGCCTGAAATTTAAGATTGTCAGGTCAAGTAAGAGGTGCGTCGTGAAGAGTCACCACTCCTATAATTACCTCAATCACATTTTTCTCATCGCAAGAAAACCAGATTCAATGTTTACTCAGTCGGGATCACATCTTGATATCTCACTGTAAAGTTCCCAACAAGCACAGACAATTTTTTAGAAATTGAAATGGACTCGGAACTCTAAGGTTTTTCGCTCAGCTAAGGAGAGGATGTCTCTAACAGAAGGGAATGAAAGCGTTGCAGAGCGTGGGGAAGAAGTCGCGAGTGAAGACACTGGTTTTACCACTTAGTGTTTCCGTAAGCTATTCATTGAGAGTAAACAATGTTTTCATTTTTGTCGACTGAACACCCTCTGATGTGCGTCTGACAGTCGATTAGTCACATCTACAACAGAAGCGGAACGTTTATTCGCTAGTGTAGAGAAAAAGCTGTTAAACAATACATAAAGTGGGGTCGCACTAAGGAGAGAACGTCCGTTGCGCGCGTCCGTTGAAAGTAGGTCACCCCGCCCACTTCGCGCGCGGCGCACCACACTGAGGTCTCGAAATGACATTACAGTACCACCAAGCGTCAATGGAGCGAATTATTTGCATTTGTCTCAGTTATCTTCTCTTTGGCTGACTTTTGTGGACCAAGCGCAATTCGTATGCCTGCTGACAACTGCGACGTTTGTCAAGTATTGCGGGCCGGCCCGCCGCATGCTATGGCTGCGGCGTGACCTAGTTTCGATGGACGCGCGCAACGAAGCGCACCCAAAGAACATC